TCTGCTTAGGTCCCTTCCGACCCTACCAACTATGAAACTTTTAAGTGGCTACTAAAATACCATGGTTCAGTGGTCCAAAAATACAGACTACGCTGCAAGTAGAAGATACTAAGTCATACGTACATCAATCACACCAGTTCCCAATACACCAACCAAATTCCCTTGCCTATTTACATGCACATAGCCTCTAATGGTTATCTTCTTCCCTATCCTGCCTGTGTCACTTTGTGCATGACAGTCATCTGTTTATTTTGTATTAATCTAAAATAGATTATAAACAGTCGGTTAGGAAGAAACTCTCTGATAGTTAAGGCAATTACAATGCTCTCAGTAATTATATAGATTGAATAAATCTGTTCTTGTGACATAGTAGACAGGGATGCTCCGAATTTGCCCTCTGGAAACTGGTGAGGGAGCAGCTTTGCTCATGGTCACAGCATGGGTCACTGGCAGAGCTGGAACCTAGGGCTAAAAGCAGACTACTTGTTTAATGTGACCCTGATAAGGCCCGGACATGGGTGGATCAAGGGTTTTGAAAAAGCTGCACATGCTGTGGTTCATCATCATCACCTATAAACAACACACATTTTCTCCAGCTAAAAAGAAACTAGCTTTATTAATATGCTAAGGGCCTAGGGTTGTATTATTCCGTTTAAGATTGAAGCAAACATAAATATAGCTTTATTGGAATGTGCATTCATTCACTACAACATATATTATGTATTATTCAAAGACACAAACAGCCAAAAAAATACTCCATTGCTGCTTTACATTGCAGTCATTACAATTAGACGTACGTTTCATCAGGATTCATAAAACATGATTCTCTTGAGCGTCTTCATAACACTTCACAAACAGTTAATTTTACACCTGAGGTAATGTTTGTAGCTACAGTTAAAAACAGTCTGCAGGGCTGTGCAAAAGGAGCTGCACGGCTAATGGACAGCAGACTTGCAAAAGAAAGGCAGCTTAATTAGTCAAACATTAAAACTATTTTTCAAAAGGCGAAAGAGTCGTTAATGCGTGTGAAGAGTTTGAAAAGAAATCCGGCGGATGGTAGCGAGCTGTGAAGTCCAGGAACTCGCTGGGGCTGCCCGACTAGACGCGCAGACTGCTGGTTTGACGCTGGCTGGGGCGGGAACGCACCACTGCCCCCCGCTCCGCTCCGAGCACGAGGCACAGCCCTTTGCACGCCGGATTTAAACGGCCACGAGCTCAAACGAAGCGAGGCAGTTCCAAGGCAAACCGTTAATTTGAATTGGCCGTCCGGCCGCGCGGGCCGGGGCCTGCCGCAGACACCGCCCCACGGAGCACCTCCTAACCCCTAGCTCCACGCCCCAGCCCAGCCGCTCCCTCGTCCCGCTCCCTCCCACCTGCTTTCAAATATCGCGAGATTCCTCGCGACTTTCCCCTTCGCTCCCCCTCGCGCCCACCCGGCCTGACACCACTTCCGGTGCGGCCGGCGCGGAGCGGTGCTGCGGTGGGTGGGGGAACAGTCCCTCCCCCCCTTCCTGCGTCACGCAGGTGAGGAGCAACGGCCACGCCCTTAAAGGGTCCGCCCCGCCCTGACGAGGAGCCTCGGTGTCATGCGCTAGGGGCAGCGGCAGCGGCGCTGAGGCGGCGGGATGGGCGCGTTGGCGGCAGTGCTGGCCTGCGGCTGCATGTGGGCGCTGGCGCACGGCCACAGTCTCTTCACCTGCGAGCCCGTCACGGCGCCCCGCTGCACGGCGATGACGTACAACATGACGTTCTTCCCCAACCTCCTGGGCCACTACGACCAGGACACGGCCGCCGTCCGCATGGAGGTGAGCGCGGGTCAGCCCGGCTGTGCGGCGCGGGGGCGGGGCCGGGGCCGTGGTTAGGCCCCGCCTGCCCCCCG